CTTAAACTTTTTTAATTAGGGTACCTGAACCAGTTAAAGGTCGTAAATATGGATTTTTGTGGAATTAAAGAAAAAAATGTTTTGTACTGTAAAAATTTATTGTTGGTGTTCAAAATGTCCTCCACCATTGCGTATACACTTTCTACAACGATTTCGTACTTCAGTTGTGGTTACTTTCATTTGCATTTCCTGTTTCATAATTTCAAACGCTGCCTCTATTCGCTGAAGTAATTCTTCTCTCGTGGTGATTTCTGTTGTGTATACGAGTTCTTTCACACGACCCCACAGAAAAAAATCCAACGGAGTCAGGTCGGGCGATCTGGCAGGCCAGGGGATGGGCCCGTCTCTCCCGATCCAGTTGCCAGGAAAACAGCGGTTCAGCGATATGTGTTGGAAAACATATGGACGTTAGGTGGCCTGCAATGAAATAACTCATTTTTAACGTCTTTTGAAGGTGAAAATGGCAAAATTCAACTACCGCTACAATTAGAAATTAATTTACCTACGGTTCGGGTAACGTTCTTGGTACGAACGTCGTGCCAGAGATGCGTTACCATTAGCTTTGCCATACATAAAAATGATTTCGGCTTGTTCATGACTCGTAAACTCAGCCATGGCAGCACACACAACAAAAAGTTCGATAGTCCAAAATAAACAACACTTGCAGGAGTGAAAGGCTACAACTGAACACGGTGAATTACAAAAATGGGGAACACAAAATCAACGTCTACTCGTCCAAGATGATTACTCAACTCAGGTAACTGAAAATTGATAAATTCAAAATCAAGTTTATGGCCCTAGCATAAGGTCTAAATCATAACAACAGAATGCATTCCAATTAATGACTAGCTTCAGGTCAAATTCTTTGTTGTAAAATGCCACCGGCACCGGCCTTTGTTCAGTTTTCTCTTCTTTNACCAAAATTTTCTCTTGAAATTGTTAGAAATAAAAATAATGTCAAATTGCAAAAATTCTTTGAACACTAGTTTTTCAAAATAGTCTTCGAGGTTTTGTTGCAATTACGACTTGATGCATTGAACTGTTTTTTTAGGCTCGACAAAAAGAAATTCGGCAGAAAGCTTTGATTTCTGAGGTACTTCGAGGTATGAAACCTGGTGTGAGAGCTTTTTGCCATCGTCTGTCTCTAATTCTCGATATCCTTCCTCTTCTCTCCAGAATCATCGTACCTTCCTTCAGATCTGTGAGCTTACATCTCTATTCAAAAGAAGAAAAAGAAAAGCTGCTGGAAGTAGTCAAGATCATGATCGATTACAATTTGAACTACATTCAAGAACGCCAAGCAGAAGGAAGTTATGAATATAAGTTAGGTAAACATAATTTAGTTTTGAAATTCTATAGATTTGATTTACGAGGTTGGTCTGAAAAGTTTCCGACCTAACAAAGATACAAGATATTTTTTCAAATTTTTTTATTCGTCCTTTTAACTCTACACGCTACTCTTAGCGATGCTGCCATCTCTATAACCCATCCAAATAGTACTCGGCGTTTTTCTCTCTGCAGAATAATCGTTCACGAAGGTGATTATCTCTTCATTTGACGAAAATCTCTGTCATCCAAGCGCAATTTTTAGACGAGGAAACCAAACAAAAATAAGTCGCTTGGGGCTAGATCTGGTGAGTAAGACGGATGGTCAAGCAGTTCAAACCGTAATTCGTGTAAGGTGGTGCGTTGTATTAGTGAAACAGGATTTTCTTTTTCTGCAAATTCTGCCTTCAGCTTGTCAAGTAATAATGCGTAGTATGTTCTTGAATTGGTTTTTCCTTTTTCAAGATAATCGATTGAAATAACACCATGACTAACTTAAAAAACAGTCGCCAACACTTTTCCAGCCGAAAAAACAGTTTTTGCATTTTTTGGTGCCGGTTCCTCCTTTGCAATCCACAATTTGGACTGTTTTTTTGGTTCAGGCGTATAATGGTGTATCCAAGTTTCATCTACAGTAATTTTTCGAAGCCAAAAATCGGGTTCATTGCGCCTAAATTGCACCAACAGAGCGTTGGAAATATTCTATCGAGCAAACGCGGCACTCAACACTCAGATAGCTTCCTCATGCCTAAATGTTGATTTAATACTCGTATGGGACAAACACGTTTACATCTTCATAACCTCTGCTTTCTCTCTCACTTCAGTTTGGCGGTCGTCTAGCACCATTTGGTGAACTTTGGCGATGGTTTCGTCGGTAATTGTAGTTTTTAGACGTCCCGAAGGTTAATAATGAGGATCCCCTTCTCTGCATGGTCCGTGACCATGAGAGAGCAGGAATTGGAGCATTTCTCTTTAGAACTCGGTATAGTTTTCGACACTGAACGAGGTGACCACAACTCTGTCACCGAGTTGGAACCTGTTCAGCAAAAAGCTCAGATAAAAGCCGCAGAGATTATCTTACTTCTGGGGAAACACAAAGATAAGCTAATGCATGGGGTCTTCTTCAATAACATTGGAGACCTTGGCTTATCAAAGCGCCTGACCTTCGCTTTTCTCAGGTCGAGTGGACTGAAGTCGGAAACTTAAGGGTTCATCATGGCTTGCCAGGATGGTGTCTTTAACACCTTAGTCTACCGCAGTCGCGTGCTGGGTATAGAGGTTTCTAACACAAGGTGCAGGGCCTGCCGCGAGGCACCCGAGACCCTAATGCACTTGCTATCAGCATGTGCAGCATATGCGGTCTCGGCCTATATCCATCGACATAACGCGGTCCTAAGAGTGCTATATTACCATCTACGGCACTCTTACGGTATTGACGAGACACCGGTGTTGCTCTACGCTCCGGGGGATATTGAATCCGTTGTGGGGAACGAGACGTGTTGAATTTATTGGAACTATTCGTTCCCCACCCTCAGGCTCATACAAGCTAATAAGCCTGACGTAGTCCTCGACCACCAGAGCAAGACGATATTTGTCGTGGAGTTTTCAGCTCCTAGCGAGACAAATATCGTCCGAAAAGAGGAGGTAAAATGGATGAAATATCGAGATTTTCTCTTCGAACTCCGCAAACACTCTGTCAAAATGGTTGTTCTGATTATTGGAGTCCTTGGTGGAATGATGCCCTCTCTACCCTCGAATATTAAAATCATACCGGCTTGCCGCACTAAGGCAGAAATCTTAGCCGCACAGATGCAGAATTCTGTTATTCTTGGCTCACTGCGCTTGCTCAGGGCACATTATTCTCGGACCCAATGATCACTTACCCCACGGTGTGGGGAGTGGTCATTGATTGATAATGCTGGCGCGTCCTTCCGAATGTATCGTGGCTTCGGGGGATAGGGCCTGACCAGCGCACACCACGATGAAAAAAAAAGTGCTTTATTCATTGACATACATTGTTTATGAAGAAGAAGTAGATACAAAAATCAATGAAAGGGAGAAATTCAGCCGAGGCTGTTTTAAAACTTTACCTAGGGATTGATTGTATGTATTATATAGAAATATAAAAATAATTACCTAGTATACATTGATAAGTGAGTAGTTCATGATGTTTCGGACCAAAAAGTATCAGCTGAGATTTTTTAGAATTCAATTTCAGGTTATGGGCTATAGATAGATCCAGTAACTTTTGTACATCACTGTTCATTTTTTACGTTGCCACCTGCCAGTTACTTGGAGGAAATCTGAGTGTCATCTGCATAATGATGAACTGTGCAATGATCAATTATTTTATAGAAGTCAGTTATATATAGAGATAACAGAATAGGGCCACGGATAGAGCCCTGAGGTATTCCATAGAAAACAGGTAAAGCACTAGAACACTTTCCATCCAGACATACTGACTGAGTCCGATTTTTGCGGTAACTTTTCAATAGATCTACAGTCCCTGTACTAAATCTAAAAAATGACATTTTCCTACACAGAATATTGTGGTCTAATGTATCTGTAGTCCAAGAGTACCATGGCAGTTACTTCATTATTATCAGATAATTTTCAATATACTTCAACATAAGGGGAATGCTGTCAGATCCAGCACAGTTACTTTTCATACCACTGATGTATTGTTGAGTCTGAAGCGGTGTCACTCTGCGAAAATTCAAAGTAGGTCCATTATAGGTCTGAGTATATCTTTCAATGAGTGTTTCATGATTATCAGACTTTGGCGATGTTTTCGTCGGTAGTTGTAGTTTTTATACGTCCCGAAGGTTCATCGTCTCCCAAGCCCTTACGTCCACGTTTAAATTCAGTTGCCCAAAATATCACTGTGGTAAATGATGGTGAAGAGTCCCCATGCACAGAATCCAACTTATCTTTGATTTGCAAAGGCGTAATGCCTTCCAAAAACAAATATTCAAAGACATCTCAATACTCGATTTTGTCCATTTTCATAAAAACACTCACATTAAGTCACTCAAACGACTGTTACATAACAACTGCTCGTCCAAAACCACTGAAACTCAAGTGAGTAACTGTCAACAGATGAACAACGAAATTCACTAGCTTTTCTTTACGAGTGATGTCATCTTCTTGTTGAGGTCGGAACCTTTTCAGGCCACCTGTGTGTGTTGCTGGTGTTGAAACAAAAACAACGCCCTTATGAATTTGTTGTTGTCTTCTTAACTTCATACAATTTTGATTTGTTGGATTTCGTCTCACTTCAGTAGATTAAGTTTTCTATTCTCATCGTATATCATTCAATCTATTCATTTCAGAACCCAACATAGACGAAGTAGTGATTTTTGACAAAACAAATCCCCATCAGAGGAAAACTCTTTCATATCCTAACAAACAGCTCATAGCACGAGAAATCGAGCTAGAAAAGATGCGACAGTTCGAAGGTCCAAAGAACGAGGGCGATTCTATCAAGAAGAAAAAAGAAAAACCTGTCGATAAGAATCAGTTACCAAATCATTTGCAGAAGTTGCAAGCGAAATCTGTGAAACCGATGAATTTTTTAGTCTTTTTAAACTATATTTCTTTTATCTAAACTTTGGGATCAATCAGCCGTATATTGTTTAGAAGAATGACCATTGATATTTTTCGATTCTGGAGAGGGAGCCTGTAAATCAGCCACCAAGCCCAAGGCAGCAGGCGCGCAAAGGAGGGTTACAAATAAGGCAGCAGGCGCGCGTACAGCGTCATCTGCCCGCGAATAGATCAAGCAATAATGTCCATAATTCTGGAGTTACAAACAAACTGAAAACAAACAAACAAACAAACATACATGCATACAAGTGAAGCTAATAAAAGCATGTTATTTAAAAAATACGTTTTTCAAATGAAGAAAATACATGAAAGTGAGTTCGAATTATATCAAGGAGGTTCCGTACAGCGCCATCTGCCCGCGAATATATCAAGCAGTAATGTCGATAATTCTGTCAAATACAAATCCCGATATGAAATGAAATGAAATGGAGAGTTACAAACAAACATACATACATAGAGGTACGATAAGGTACAAATTGCTAAAAACGACTCTCCTCGATAGGAAGACTTAACAGATTGTCTCTGGTCTCGATTCCTGGCCATCATGACAAAGGAGGATGCTGCAAGCAGCTTCATCGGCCCAGAACCTGTCATTGGTATCGCTTTAGGATTTGTCAAATAAACATTGAACATCTGGATGGCATCTGATCGGCTTCGTTAGAAATCACACGTTAAAAGGTAAGACCTCGTTAGTCCTTAGCTCCCACAAGTTTCTCAACTTCTGAGAGTTGTCGTTCGTATGGGGGCGACAGCTGCATTAGTGACAACAATCAAACAGAAAAACAATTTATTTCATCATGAACTTTTGGGAAAAATGAAACCAATAAGGAAAATCAATGCTACATGGCAATAATAATAATAGTAATTCCACTCACAAGAGGTAACAGCAGTGAAAAACTCTCTCCGTATCAGCACAAACTTCGACAGATCTGGTCATCGGAACTGTCGGGGAAGAAAAAAGTTGATGCAACAAATATGCTTGCCGTTCAAATCTTACTCTACTCGTTTGTTGTAGTGAAGTGGACTCGGGAGGAGCTGTATCAACTTGACGTTAAGACCCGAAAAATGATGCATCTCTATAGGAGTTTACATCCCAAATCGTCCGTTCCACGGTTGTACTTCCCCTGACAACAGGGAGGCCGTGGACTTTTGAGTTTGGAGTGTCTACATGACAGAATGGTTCTGGATACAGCCTGTAAAGTCGTCAGGTAAGAGGAGGAAAAACGGATAAAATATCGAGATTTTCTCTTCGAACTCCGCAGACTCTATCCAGATCACTCTGTCAAGATGGTTGTTTTGATTATTGGAGTCCTTGGTGGAATCTCGAATCTTAAAATCATACCGGCTTGCCGCACTAAGGCAGAAATCTTAGCCGCACAGATGCAGAAGGTTGTGCATGATGCATGTGCTCAGAGCACATGATTCTCGGACCCAATGATCACTTACCCTACGGTGTGGGGAGTGGTCATTGGTTGATAATGCTGGCGCGCCCTCCCGAATGTATCGGGGGATAGGGCCTGACCAGCGCACACTACGGCGAAAAAATAAAGGTCTTTATTCCCAGAATGGTACAATAAATAAGTGTGAATATTTACTGAAACGGGAAAGGCTGAAGATCAGTTGGTTGCATCAAAAGATGCAACCAAGGGCCAAGGATGTTTGTTCCCACAATTCCCAACCAAACATTTATTCCGAAATTTTCTTGGAAATTGGTTTCCCTATGTGAATGTTAATTTTTATTATTCCACCTTTAATGGATATTTCTGGTAAACCAACCATTGTTGGTCGGTTGTTTCATCAGAATTTTTATAATCACTTCCAAAAGTGGTGATAGTTTCACGTTGTATGCTTATTGTCAACAGTATATATCGGCTGCACACTGAACACTGAGTCATGCGAAGAGAGGCGAGTTACGTACCGAATAAGTACGTTCAACCAGCCGACTAGGTCTACGACCCGGTCAAGGAGCGCCGACGCTGCAGTATCAAATAGCCGGCATTCCAGGAAAAGCCAACATTATAATTTGTCACCATTTATATTACATTATTAAAAATTCAGTCTTGATGTAACTTTTGTACGAACAACTTGTCCAAATAAAAATATTTCGTCTTTTTAAAAACGGTCTTCGTTCTTTAAAGTACGTAATTGGCGGGAGAATCGTTTGCCTGAGATACGGCTACCGCGTTGTGTTAGAGTGAGGAGAAAGGGAAGACAGACATACTGGCTCCGTTATGCGTTACGTTACCAAGCGGTTTACCCTCCCATAGGAAGTTATCACTTCAAAAAATGTAATCGATCCTACAAAAATTTTACTATCCTCACGTCACATTAAACTCGGTATGATAAAACAGTTCGTTAAATCATTAGGTAGAGAGAATGATAATTTTAAGTGGTCTGTGTTAAACATTCCTAAGATTATCTGATGCAAAAATAAAGGAAGGGGTATTCGATGGACCACAAATTAGATCTTTAATAACCTATGAAAAATTTGATGCAACAATGAATACTACTGAATTAAAAGCTTCTGGCGTTCAAAGATGTCAACAGTTTTCTACGAAATCACAAACACCGGTGTTTGTGATTTCGTCGATTTTTATAATACGGGGCCCCGTATTATGAAAATATTGTGGCACATTGATTTGATACGTATCAAAAATGGGAAGTAATGTCATACATTTTCTCTTCAGTAAATCTGACTTTATTTGATTGAAAATGATTCTTTGAATTATTCCATTGTTATTATTTCTAATGAAAGTTCTGAATTTTTTTGGCGAGTATTCTTTGACTTCATTTGAAAAATGTTTGTTTATTGCGTCGACGAGATTTTCCCTATAGCAATATTTCGCATTTTTTATCTCTATGTACAGATGATTTGAGTATTTCCAGGACTTAATAGAAACCTCAACATCATTATCACTTGTCTATTTATGCCAAAGTTTACGGTTTTAGTTGATGTCTTTTAAAATAAGCACCTTATTCCACGGTTCTCTGTTCCCAAATTGTTTTGTTTCTGGAATAAACTGGCATGTAAAGTTGATGAATCACGTGAAATCCGATATCATTTTCAGAATAAACCGTTTTATTACGCCAACACACTGCGAGATATAGTATTTGCTTCCGTTTTGGAACGTCCGTTACCGTTCGTTGAATATTTAATTCGGAAGGCATATATGGAACCAATTTTCTGTGAGACGGGGTGTTAATGCAGACCCCGGGGGTGCCAAAAGTGTGTTCTGAATTGTTCTAGTGTGTAAAATAATCCGGACAGGAAGTCGCAAACGGCAGTATTTCAGGATAGAGAAAGAACGCGCTGATTTTGCCGCGCCATTTAGCTAAAGCGTTCGGTTGGCAGAAGTTACGAGACATATTAGGAAAAAACGAGGAATATTGGGCGACGTTCGAGAATCTCCAGAAAAATGTTTTATGAGACTTCTGTAGAAATCAATCACCGATAACAGTATATAGTGTAACCAGAAGAACGAGAAGTTTCTCAATTACTCAAAATGTTAGTTTTGGATGTGCTTGTTTTGGATCCATTCTTCGCCAGAAGTTCAAGTTCTACCTTTTATTTTCAGTATCATAAATGTCATTAGATGTTTCAACAGGAAGGCGCTCCTTTGGATTAGGCCTTGACTGTTCGTTAGGCCTTCACGGTAACCGGATTTAACACCTCTTGATATTTTTGCGTTGGAGTATTATTGTCGACGAGTGTGCTGAAATCACTCTGTGAACAAATAAAGTTGTTTTGAAAAATATCTTTATTGTTGTAAGGAAGCGGTTGATCATCAATTCGAACATTCAATCAGTAGTGGCATCAACGAATACGTAAAATAGTCAATCCCCGAAAGTCCCCAGAAACAGCTCTGGGTTTCTTGATTTTTCAAAAATTAATAATCTGTGTATTATCTGAAATCAGGATATAATAATTCTCTATATAAATTGAAAGGGGTACATTTTTAGGAGATATTAACTTTTGGAAAAGAAAGGTTTTGACTTTCTACTTCTCCATCTTCATACAAACAATGTGGGAATCTTCCAAAAAAAGAAAGGAAGCAATAAATTTCAAAAAAGCTAAAGGATATTCTTTTTCTCCAGAGGAATGAAGTTCAAGGTCATTTATGTGAAACAAATGGGTGACCATTACGGTTTTGGGGGATGCTACAGTAATACCCTCGTGCATTTCTAAGACGAACGGAAGATGGCAATAGTGAGATGCATGAAAGAAGGGGACAAAGGAAATTACTCTGAAATACATATATTTCGAAAGTGACTTGTTCTGTTTGGACTCTAGCTTGACTTGGTGAAGCGAGTCCGCCAGAATGGTCTTAGTTTTTCAAAACTTCCCACTATTTTGTTGGGTACGGCATGGCATCTGAGCCAATGCAAGATGAGTTCATTTGAAGTTGTATTGAATGCCTTGTGGTAACCGATCCAGGCCATAGAGAGGTTAAGTTTATACTTTATCGAGTCCTGTGTTATATATTGATAAGCAGGTTCTCTCTACATCCATCGACTACTCTGCTCATATATTCTTTTGAATACTTGGTTAACTGCGGAGAGTAATCATTTATATAAGATGCACATTGTAATAAAAGATACTCTAGGGGGCTCATGGGGAAGAAACATTATTGACTCCGATATTGTTGCGATATTGTAAACTATATGCAATGGGTTTCAGAGGTATTTTTCTACAGTGGCTCAGGTCGTACTTGACTCAAAGGAAAATACATGTTAAAATTGATAACTGTTACTCTCAATCGTATGGCATAGACCCAGGAGTTCCTCAAGGCTCTATTTTGGGACCACTCATTTTTTTACTATATATCAATGATATGCCGAATTATATAAACACAAATTGTATTGTCTTATATGCGGATGATACAACTTTAACAATTGATGCTGATAGCTCCGAGGAACTTCAAGAAAAGCTCAACGTATTGTCGTTTGAATTCACAACCTGGTGCAGAAAAAATTCATTAGTTGTGAATTCAAGCAGAACAGTGGTGATGCAATTTTACTATAGAACGATTAAAAAAATTAGACCACTTGTGGTCGGGATAGGAAAAGAGATTATTGCATCATCAGACAAAACCAAATTTCTTGGTACGGTCATAGATAGCCACATGTCGTGGGAGTCAAGTATAGCTCAAGTGAATAAAAAAGTCAATTCGGGGTACTATGCTATTAGACAATTGAGATCGGTATTCAACAGAAAACGGCTCGTAAATGTTTATTTTGCCCTTATATACTGTCACATCTCATATAATATCGCTGTGTGGGGTTGCTCCTCCAAGCTTTATAGAATTTTTGTGTCCCAAAAAAGGGTTATACGACTAATATTCAAATTAGAGTGCCGAGAGTCTTGCAAAAAAACTTTTGTTGAAAATAGAATTATGTGTGTACCATGTATATATATTTACAAGTGCATACTAGTATTCAAGAAATATTCACACGATCACCATCGAAACTTCAGCCACCAACCAAGCAGCCATACTGCAGGTAACGAGTAGCAAATATCTACGTTCGTTATCACCAGAAAGCACGGATGTCACATTTAGTTTACCGACAACTCCAAATGCGAGAAATGTCTCCCACATACCCACGAATACTTCTCTCTCGCAGCTGCGCTATGCATGACTACTTAAATAAGGCCAGTAGTGCTGTGCCTCAAGGTACCTGAACCCAAGGCATATTGTCACAACATAAACAACTAACATGCTCATAACACGAATTCAAGAATGTTATCTATCGACAAATTTTTCCGTTTTTGGGGATAAGAACGCTCCGACCACCCTCGACAAACCCATCCGGAAGGGAAAGTGTTAGTCGGTTGGCGTTAGGTCTGGTGAGTATGGTGGGTGAGGCATAACTTCGATGATCAATTCGTTTAATTTTCGGACGGTGATTTGTGAAACGTGCGGACGGGTGCGGTCATGGAGCAGGATCGGACTTCTGATCATCCTACAGTAATCATGTTTTTTTTTGTGAGTTTTCGCCTTTGGGAAGTGCCTGGGTGACGATCCGATTAAAAAAAAGATCGTTGAGGGCCGCATTTCTGGCTTTTTGACCTTACCAATACGTTTTAAACTATCAAAAATCGCATGGGAGCTGTTGCCCAGTTATTCTGTCATCCTAGGCACCGTTTCTGATGGGTCAGTCTTCACCAGGGTCCTCAGATCCTCCTCCTGGATTACTATATGTCGACCACTCCAGGGCATTACTTTGGAACAAAATTTCGCAAACCAACGTTGAACAGTGCGTTTATTAACATTATCGTTGCCAAAGCCTAGTAAATTTTTCGTGAAAAATTCGTAAAGAATAACACTAGCCAACAAATAAGAAAAAAAAATGCGACTAATATTATAATGGCTATACATGAGAGTTTAAAGCATCTTTACTGCGACTTCAACATCAAAAATTTTCCATTACGTAAAGATTTTGAGTTATAGTTATTTTTGTTTTATACAAACATTTTCACATTTTATAGGAAATATAAGATCAAAACAAAAAAAAACAATATATTTTGAGGATAACAGACTTTACTTACAATAAACATGAAAAACATTCAAAAGAAATCTTTTGTGCATAACCTTTTTGCAAATGTTGACTTTTGTTTATATATTTCATCGTTTTACTCATAAGGAACCAACAATAATCCCCCGTCATTGCTGCATCCCATCTGCCTTGTTAACGTTTCTCCATTGTCAGTATGTAATAATAATAATAATAATAATATTTATTTAGACATGCGACATCCCATTCTGCAGTAGTTTTCAAGTAATTCTTCTACAAGTGTTTCGTAATTTTCTACTTTCTTGTCTCCTAAAAATTCTAAAACAATTCTCTTAAAAGAACTCCACGCAGCTAATTGAATATTAATCAATTTTTGATCAAACTGTTGATCACTTAGTAGTTTTCTAATTTGTGGTCCAACAAATATACCTTCCTTGAGCTTTGCATCACTTAATTTTGGAAAAACGTTTTCAAGATATCAATTTCTTCGTCTAATGCTTTTACAAAATTTTTCAATAACCCCAGTTCAATGTGTAATGGAGGTAACAAAACGTTTTTGGGATTAGCAAGAGATATATTCTTCATGTTAGCTTGACCTGGAATATATTTATTTCTCGGAGGCCATTCTTTTACTTGATAATGGCTTTGTGTTGCCCTACTGTTCCAGAAGTAAAGAAAAACAGCAAAACTTCGTAAATCCACCCTGAAGACCTAGTAATAGTCCTTTGACTTTCTGGTCACCACGTATTTGCCACTTATACATTTAGAATAAGTGTTTACTTTATGGCAACTGCATGTGCAAGAGGAATAGAGGGTCTTTTGTTACCATTATGGAGCAGAATGGATTTTAAACTTGTTTTAGATGCTTTATTGCCAGATTTTGAACAATTTCCTCAATTTATGGGAAAATAAAATTTGGAATGTCGTATTCATTGAATTTTTGTGAAGAAATTCATAACTCAAAAAACTTACGTGTTAGAACATTTTTACTATCATTTTCGTATTTGGGGACCAAACATTAACAAAGAACATTGACATTACAGTCGTTAACTAGTGTAGTTGGCCTAAACTCGCTTATTGACTTTATATTTAAGCTGAAAAGAGGCAAGAAAATAAAAATTTGGAAAATCTCTATCGATCAGTGTATCACGAAACAGTAGAATAAATATTCATTGAGAAATGGAGTTACAAAAACACATGACATTAAAAAACGGACAAAACTTCTGAAATAATCTAATATTTTCATTTCATTTCATTAATTTGTTCCATTCATCTACAGTATATTTTTTCAATTAACGTGTGTTGTATATTTTATGATAATATTTATAACTCCTACAAATACTACTTCACCAAAATGAACCAATAAAAATATCTCTACATCTTTCAACAGCACTTCCATCAAAAACGTCATTATTAATTTATTACAGCGATTTTTCCATCTAACCACCATTAGTAACGTCGGTTTTCTTTCCATTATGATACAATTAAAACATCTATGCGGTCCAAATGGATCTCATCCGTATTCTTTCTACATTCTTTTCATATTGAAATCGTGGCAGCCATTACCGTTTCAGATAGCCGCTTCATAAGTAATAATTTTGTTTTTAGGAACCCTCCTAAACGATTTATCATCCCGAGGAATGACTTTCCGAGGATGGATTTATTATTTATCATCTTTGGGGTTATTTGCGAGCACTTAAAAAGGGGTTTTGTCAGGTTTTACAATGCCCTGACCAGCGCTGCTTTATTCCATCGGAGGAAAAGAATGAAGTTTTATTTTCGATATTCATGCGAGAAGTTGTTCTTTTTTAGAATATGCAAGTCCACCTCTTACAGATCTGGACGATGATTTATATTGATGTTTCTTTGGAAATGGTCCAAGAAAGTACTTTTAGGGAATAATGAATTATTTGTTATTCGATATCACTTGACTTACTTACTAAAACCTCTGGTAGGAGTCCATTGTATCTCAAAATGGAGTGCAGTAGATTTGCGAGGAATAAAACTCAAAGTCGTCTCCACAATTTAATGTCACCATCGGATGTTAGTAGAAGTTTAAATATTAGCGGATGATGAACCTATATAGACTCGAAACATGTTCTAATTGATGGTTTTGCCGCACTAACATCCGATGGTGTCATTAAATTGTGGAGACGACTTTGAGCGGTCCTCAACTTGCTGATCGGCACTTCAGAAAGATTGATATCTGATCTCTTTTGGTCGAAAGTCAGCCTTTAGGTGCTTTTACTTTCTTATCGAATCGTTGTTTTATCTGACTATTCCTAACTGAATTTTAGCATGGGGTCCCCCAAAAACTAACCGGCGGCTTTGTGTTAGTGCATCGAGCGTTTCTCAGTGCATCCCAGAAAATTTTTTAGAGTCGCGATCGCGGTCGAAGTGTTCTTCGCTGAACCTACCTGGAAGAGAGTGTATCTGGTTAGTGTTATACTTACCTAAGTCGCCTGACGGCGACTAACGGGGGCGGTCTGTTATTCTGTTTAGTCGGCCTGGGATGTTTGTCCCTTTCTCGGAATCTGGGGTCATCCATATTTAACGCATCGTATAGATCGCGGAATGCTGGATTTGAGTGCGATCTGATTCTATCGAACGTTCTTTCTGCATGTTCTCTCATATACACGTCCACATAGTGCGTATCCAGGTCTAAGTCTCTGTATATTAATCTATTGGGTATATAATAAGGTGCGTTTACTGCGGCCCTTACGCTCGCATTCATAAACGATTGGATCTTCTTCCTGTATGTCTGCGCACACTGGTCCCAGGCAGTGCATGCATACAGTATTATTAGCATTAGAATCGTTCTGATCATTAGTAACTTGACTTTCAATGCCATGTTACTACTTCTTCCTATGATCGGCGCCAGGCGTCGTTTGGCCTGTCTGGCCATTCCTATTATCTGTTGTACGTGGGCCTGGAATGTTAGTTTCCTGTCTAGGATGACCCCAAGGTATGTCGCTTTGTTTGTCCACGGAATCTCTTGTCCATTGAAGGTGATGTTGCCTTCCGGTTGTACGAACCTGCGAGTGAACAGTATCGCCTGACTCTTGTCAGGGTTGATACTGATCTTCCACAGGTTAGCCCACTCCTCTAATCTGTCTACCTGTTGTTGAAGGTATCTCGTAACGTGTGCTTGACTCATAGATCTCGCCAGCAGGGCCGTGTCGTCCGCGTAGAGCGCCAATTTGTTAAAGTTGTTCTCTGGCTTGGGCACGTCTGTCGTGTATACGGAGTCGAAGTGTGGCGAAAGGACTGCACCTTGCGGGACTCCTGCCTCCAGTAGTCGAACTCTTGATAATTCGTCTCCTGCTTTGCAGCGACATCGCCTGTCAGCTAGAAAAGACTGAATTAATCTTACCATTGGTTTTGAGTATTCAAAATCGCGCATCTTGGCCAGTAGCCCGTCATGCCAAACTCTGT